TTTTCTGTTTTTGTTGAGATGACCCAGAAACCGCAGACATGTAAGTATTCTTTTCCTTTTTATGAAGTGATTTTGCGACATAGATGAATTATACACTTGTAGATTAAAGTGGGTTGAAGTTATGTTTATCACGCATTCCCGGGAAGTGAGTGTATTACAACTTCAATAGCAAGATGTGAATTTATAGAACTACGTTGATTAACTAGGTTATTTTAATTGCAGGTGCTAGCAATATTGAGATCAATTTTAGCAAATGAAACCGAATGCAGACTTAGTATACGTAGCATAAAAATGAGAGTTAGATAAAATTTTAATTTCGAAATGGACGATTAACAAGAAAAGACTTCAGAGTAAAATTGGCGTTAGGAGTAGGAGTAGACTTTGCTTATGGCCTAAGAAATGAAGTAGATTTTCAACATTACCGGTCACTGGGAGTAGACTATCCTCTTCGATTTGGCACTTGCTTTTATTTTATTTTCCACAAATCCACTCTTTATCACAAAAAGTCGATTTACCATATATCCTCTTTCAGGCCGCAGGATTTCCACTTAGCTTAAGACGGAGTAGATTTTCCAAATAACTAATAATGACAAGGACTTCATTCTGAAGAGACTTTCCACATCTCTTCACATAGCGAATTGACTCACGCATCCTCACGCAAGAGCAGACTTTCCATGCAATAAACAGACTCTCCACGTCACCTCACGCAACGAAAAGTCTCTCCACGCCGCCTCAACACCCAGCGGGCAGACAAAACAGTTAGATTTTCGGCAGGTGCAAGATACAGCGTCGAGGAATTAGCGGGTTGGGTATTTTCTTCCCTCCCTTTCTCTCTCCCTGCATCGTAAAAGTATTATGCGGTCCCTTTGTGTCGTGTCTCGTTACGTTTTATTTACAACACCGTGGATGTGGTAGGGACTCGATGCTCTCTCATTAGCTTTTTTATGTTCTTTTATTTTTCTAAACATTTTTATATTTCCTTGTTTTTGTTTGTTGTTGTTTTTTGTGTGTGGTCGGACCACCCTATGGATAGTGTTTTTTCATTTTATTTTATTATCTATGTATAAGTTTTTGGCGTCTTGTTTTGATTTTGTTTCTTTTATGGTAAAAAAAAAGGAAAAACATAAAACCCTTCCTTTGGAAACACTGATGCCTTGGAGGGATTCCAGGTCGCGTTTTCGTCCATTTTCTGTTTTTGTTGAGATGACCCAGAAACCGCAGACATGTAAGTATTCTTTTCCTTTTTATGAAGTGATTTTGCGACATAGATGAATTATACACTTGTAGATTAAAGTGGGTTGAAGTTATGTTTATCACGCATTACCGGGAAGTGAGTGTATTACAACTTCAATAGCAAGATGTTAATTTATAGAACTACGTTGATTAACTAGGTTATTTTGATTGCAGGTGCTAGCAATATTGAGATCAATTTTAGCAAATGAAACCAAACGTAGACTTAGTATACGTAGCATAAAAGTGAGAGTTAGATAAAATTTAAATTTCGAAATGGACGATTAACAAGAAAAGACTTCAGAGTAAAATTGGCGTTAGGAGTAGGAGTAGACTTTGCTTATGGCCTAAGAAATGAAGTAGATTTTCAACATTACCGGTCACTGGGAGTAGACTATCCTCTTCGATTTGGCACTTGCTTTTATTTTATTTTCCACAAATCCACTCTTTATCACAAAAAGTCGATTTACCATATATCCTCTTTCAGGCCGCAGGATTTCCACTTAGCTTAAGACGGAGTAGATTTTCCAAATAACTAATAATGACAAGGACTTCATTCTGAAGAGACTTTCCACATCTCTTCACATAGCGAATTGACTCACGCATCCTCACGCAAGAGCAGACTTTCCATGCAATAAACAGACTCTCCACGTCACCTCACGCAACGAACAGATTCTCCACGCATCCCCACACAACGAAAAGTCTCTCCACGCCGCCTCACGCAACGAAAAGTCTCTCCACGCCGCCTCACGCAACGAAAAGTCTCTCCACGCCGCCTCACGTAACGAAAAGTCTCTCCACGCCGCCTCACGCAACGAAAAGTCTCTCCACGCCGCCTCACGCAACGAAAAGTCTCTCCACGCCGCCTCACACAACGAAAAGTCTCTCCACGCCGCCTCACGCAACGAAAAGTCTCTCCACGCCGCCTCACGCAACGAAAAGTCTCTCCACGCCGCCTCACGCAACGAAAAGTCTCTCCACGCCGCCTCAACACCCAGCGGGCAGACAAAACAGTTAGATTTTCGGCAGGTGCAAGATACAGCGTCGAGGAATTAGCGGGTTGGGTATTTTCTTCCCTCCCTTTCTCTCTCCCTGCATCGTAAAAGTATTATGCGGTCCCTTTGTGTCGTGTCTCGTTACGTTTTATTTACAACACCGTGGATGTGGTAGGGACTCGATGCTCTCTCATTAGCTTTTTTTATGTTCTTTTATTTTTCTAAACATTTTTATATTTCCTTGTTTTTGTTTGTTGTTGTTTTTTGTGTGTGGTCGGACCACCCTATGGATAGTGTTTTTTTCATTTTATTTTATTATCTATGTATAAGTATTTTTTTTTTGCATCTTTTTGGCGTCTTGTTTTGATTTTGTTTCTTTTATGGTAAAAAAAAGAATCTTTCGTAATTTGCTTTTTATTTTTTTAAACATTTAGATTTTCTTCTTTAAAAAAAAATAAAGTTGCTTTTCGTGTGGGCGGACAACCATAAGATCGTTTTTAATTGTTTTTTTATATATAATTTATATATACATATATATACACACATTTATTTATATATTTATTTATTTATTTTTCCTCTCCTCGTTTTGTTTTTATTTTTTTCTTTTCTTTAGATTCCTTTATTATTATTTTTATTATTTTCGTGTACTAGGTGTTGTCTACAGCGACAGCGCTAATTATATCGTAATCAACAGTGTGATTAATTACTTTATACAACGCTAATGAATATGATTATCATTACATAGTTCGCTGTTATTACCGTAGACTGTAACATCTATTATTGCCTTATTATCATATAATCAACTTTTAAAAATTATTGTTGACATCGTTATCATCATTATCTCTTGTTATCTATCTCTCTATAAAAAAATCACTTTCGTTATCATTGTTTGGTTGCTATTTTAGTAAACCAGACAATAACAACCTTTAGTATTATTCTACTTAAATAATCTAAACTTGTTATTGTGTTCAACTTCACTGGATATTAATTGTGTCTATATCCAGATTTTTTTTTACCAAGTGTAACATTGACTATGATAATAAAACACAGTACATATTAATCCAACTGTTTAATTCATTATCACAAAAAGCCTATCTATTACAACAAACATCACCACATTTACAAAAATAATCTAAAAGTCACTGGCCACGTAATGAATGAGTTTAACAAAAAAAATCTAATCCTAATGAAAGCACTGATGAGTTCTTGGAACCTCGTATAGTGAAGAAAAGAAGAGAGAGGAAAAGGGAAAACAAAAATATCGAGAGTAAAGGGATACGGATGATAAAAGTAGAAGAAACACGTAGAAATAGATACGTGCGATAGATATCTTCAAGTGTGTTAGAGCCTATTTGGTTCCATCTATATATTTCTTATTGTTTTCTGTGAGTTTCAAGACACAAAGACCGCCACAGAACATAAATACAACAACCTTTACACTTCTGACCCCTTAGCGTATCACGGCACATTATATAAATAATAAATAATCTTGTAATCGTAATACTTATACACTAAACATATACATGATGTTTACACAGAAAGAACGTTTGTACTCTATGTACACATTAGAAGAATAATACTAAACATTGACTATCTGGAACACAAGAAGAGCAAGTGTCTTAGCAAAGGCAAATCATAGTCTATTACAAAGGGAAAAAAACGCATATTATTGCACTTGTATATATCCTTTCCGTCACGAAAAACGTACAGGAAGAAAAGTCTGTGACGCGGTAATGTTAGATATATGTTCACAAAACTCTAACACAGCGTCTCTTCAGCATTCAAAAACTAGCATGATTTGCCTTAGCTAAGCCACACTTCACCTCCTGTGCTATTGCATGTTCCCAAATTGGGCCCGAAACCAAACTAACGATGCCTTTGTGACAAGAAAAGCTGTCGTCTTTGAGAGTGATCTGTTAGGATTCCTATAACGCTGGTGATTTATAAAAAAGAGATATCAAAAGGGAAGTTTTGGCTGGATTAACGACTTGAAAATGTATAATTTTTGTCGAAAATATCTGTAAGAAATATTATAAACTATTTGGACGTAGCACCGATGTGGAAGACATTTCTTTGTTTTCTTTAAGTACAAAAACCTTGCAGATTTTTTTTTCACGTTTTTTTTAATTATGCCAAAAAGGCGACCAATATTTTCATTTACGCGTCAGGAATACAGCATAGAATATAGTCGCCGGTTAACTACTCTTCCTGCAAATTGACTCCAAGTGGCTTTTATATAAATCCTGTCACTCCATGTTAGTTATTTCTTGGGCACATTCTTTGGCATTATTTATTTCACACTCACATACGCACACACATACTAATTCAAATCAACTAACATTTATTTGGGGATTCAGAAAACAACCACTTGAAATTTCTATGACTGAAGACCCAACCGGGCTAATAATTCAATAATAATTATCTGACAAACGCTGCATTTACAACCTCAAGTTGCCGTCGTTGAGAATTGAATAAACCATTTCAATGAACACATCAAAGTAGCACCACATCCCTTAGACAAGATCCAAGGCAGTCAGTAGAGGACTCTCCGTTACCAGCAGTTTTACTTCCAGTGTTTTGAGTGTCTGGCGACTAAAATATCAACGAGAAAAAAAGACAAAAAAAGAAGAAATCTTGTGTTACTTTAAGTAGCGTAACTCAAATGTCATTTCACGTTATTTGTGTTCAAAAATAATTTACCCCCCCTCCCTCAAAATCGATGGTGTAGGTCTAAGGCATCAAGTGCGAGGCGCGCCTGTCAACAATCCTCCAGACGCTTTCCCTCCACTGGTATAGTTCATTGGGCCGAAAAGCAGTCGCGAATGTCATGGGTGAGCCTAATCGACCTTTGGCCTTGTTCCTCCCGTTTCTGAGGGCAGCAAGATAACTGTTTCAGAGTTACCCCACCGGCAGAGCATCGACACCGAGGCGGAACTCGTATTTCAAGTCCCTTGTTGCGTCGAATACGGGGAGAGCTGTTGATTGAGTTGCAACGCAGGCTGCTGGTGCGTGTAGATGGGCGACTGGTAGGAGGGGAGGACGGCGGGGGACGTGATCATGGAATAGTGGGGGATGCTGGGGGAGGCGGTGGCGCCCTGGGTGACGGGGTAGGCCTGGCAGTAGGGAGGCGGAGGGGAGTCGTACACGTGCTGTGAGCCCTCGGTCCTCTGGAGCATCTGCTGCTGCTGCGTCGGCGGCGGCGGCGGCGAGTGCTGGCCGTACATCATCTGCGGCGCCTCCCCTGCCACCACGATCTTGCCCTGCATCTGCTGCGGAAGCTGAGGCTCTCGTCCGTACATGACCATGTCACTGCCCACCATCTCCGCCTGCTGCTGCTGCTGGTAGCTCAGAAGATGCTGACCCACGCGTCGAGGTCCTCCTGGGAGAACTCGGGCACTAAAGTCTCCGGCAATCCGAGTGCCATCTGGGAGCTCTCCCCCGAGGGCCTGCGGGAGAGCACGTGGCACCGGAGACTGAAGCGCACCACATCCTTGGGACCCGCACTCGGGGACGACACTGTCTGGGAGGAACACGAAGGAGTCACAACCTTGGTCAACGCCGACGCTGAGGCCGCCACGACGCTCAGGGCTTTTATCTTAGACCACTAAATATTCCTTCTTAAAGCTAAATATTCCTTTTTTATGATCTTATTATCATGATTATTTTCATCATATCAATTAGTTGGAAATTTCCTTTCAACAGCTAATCTCATATTCCAAATAATCCAACTTAGACGAGGCGAAAGGACGTGGTTATAGACTCACCGCTGTGCTGGAGGGCGTCGTGCTCCATCAGAGGCGCTTCGGAGTCCAGGGGCATCCCGGGCAAGATGCAGCCGGGCGAAGATCCCCGATAATCGTCATCGCCGGTACGCATCTGAGGGAGAGGAACGTGTGAACTCTCGTGGGAAAGACTTCGTTTTTTTTTAGATATTGGTACATACAAACACACGGACGTACAAATGCTCGCACACAGACACACACTCAAACAAACATACTCAAACACACACACTCAATTCACTCACTCACACAAACAAACACAGACCCACCCACAGACAAACAACTAACACCCCCTCCCTCCCCCTCAGACACACCCAAACACTCAAACAAACACACACACGCACGCCTGCGAACTCAGCGGCTCTCCCGTACCTTTCTCTTCGCCAGCGCCTGTTCTTTGGCCGAATGGTTCTTGACGTGTTTTCTGAGCGAGGACGGGTCGGTGTAGCGCTTCTTGCAGCCCGGCACGGAACACACGTACGGTTTCTGCAAGTGGGCGAGAAAGACGGGTTAATGGCGGTGCAGTGACAGTGGCAGTGACGTGGTAGTGACAGTGGCAATAACCGTGACAGTGGTAGTGACAGTGGCAGTGACCGTGACAGTGGTAGTGACAGGGGCAGTAACAGTGGCAGTAACAGTGACAATGACAGTGGCAGTGACCGTGACAGTGGCAGTGACCGTGACAATAACAGTGAGAGTGACAGTGACATTAGCTGTGAGAGTGGCGGGAAAAGCGAGATGTGCGTGAGCTCCTTCGGTCCAAGAGAAGAGCAGGATGCGCACAGGTTTTTCTTGTTTGTTATCTTGTCCAAACTACTCGAGTTACAGAACTCCGTGATGCGTATCTCGGGCCCTTGTGTGCACCGTGAGAGATTGGATCTTACTGAACCTTTTTTGGATTATTTATTAGTGGAAGTTAGATGAGAGAGAGACATTCCAATACTCTCAGCGGGGATTTTTAAAAGTCTTACATACATATGGATGAGAAATTAAGATGAAAATAAAATGAAATGGAAGTCTTAGAATACAAAAACAACTCTAAAATAAAATAAAAGTTTCTAGAATCATGTGGCCAAATCAACACCGAATAATTTCAAGCTAGAATTTTGTTTTGATATATACCCTTCACCATGACAAAACGCTCTGACACAAAGCGCATGATAAAATGAACACGACTCTCACATGTCATCCATTAAGAGCAGCAAAGCGTGAAGTAAAAAAAAAAAAAGAGTTAATTAAGTCAACATATACCCCCCTCCCCCACCGCCCCCCGGAAGCATAGGCCATAATTACCAACATTAAAAACTTTCAGACAAATTATACCCTCCACTTACAGCATCCACATGAGTCCGTTGATGTTTCGCGCGATCTGAGGAGTTTGAGAAAGCTTTCATACAGTGAGGGTAGCCGCAGATATAGGGCCTCTCGCCTGTATGGCTCCTGAGGTGGATTTTGAGGTTCTCCAGACGCGAAAACGCCTTGGTGCATCCCTTGAACTGTTGGGGGAAAAAAGGAGGAAATTAATTAAATGGGTTGATAAGGAAATCGTGTCATGTTATGAGGGATTAAATGCAATGTAGAAAGAGAGAAAGAGAGAGAGAGAAATGGAGGAAATGAGAGAAAACGGAGAGAGATAAAAATAACAAAATAATCAAATGGACCTGATAAGAAATTCGCGTAATAAATGGACTTGAAAGAAGATACACAAAGAGGGACGTAGAACATGAAAGAAAGAAAGAAAGAAAAAAGAAAAGAAAAGAAAGAGAGACAAAGAGAGTTTTTATTAATTCCTGTCTGATAAAAGGAAATATCTTGCCGAGGAAATACCACTTTGTGACCTTTGAGAATGATATAAAAAAAACAGACTAAGACAAACTATGACAATTATATGGCAAGCTAACCTTAAGCTAAACCACGTGGCTTCTAAGACCATCCCTTTTCCTACACGAAAATGAATGTGAAATGATAGAAAAGAAGATTAAGAGTAAGGATAAAGAAGAAAAGGAAGAAGAAAATAGATATATGAGTAGAAAGAAAGTTAGATGAATAAATAGTTAGATAGAAAGAGGAAAAAAGAGAGGACAGGAGGGATGGGGAGGACTGGACAAAAAAGGAGAAAGAGAAAGAGAAAGAGAGAGAGATGGATAGATAGAGAGAGAGAGAGAGAGAGAGGGAGATAGATGGATAGATAGAGAGAGAGAGGGAGATAGAGAGGGAGAGAGAGAAGAGAGAGAGAGAGAGAGAGAGAGAGAGAGAGAGAGAGAGAGAGAGAGAGAGAGAGAGAGAGAGAGAGAGAGAGAGAGAGAGAGAGAGAGAGAGAGAGAGAGAGAGAGTAAGGGAGAAAGGGATGGAGGGAGGAAGAGAGAGGAAGATATATATATATATATATATATATATATATATATATATATATATATATATATATATATATATACATATATATAGAGAGAGAGAGAAAAAAAAAAGGAAAAAGAGGACCACGAAAGCACCGTCAAACGAACACGCCCATCCCCTCGAAGCCAGCACCTGGGCCTTCGAACACCGGAATCCCGCAGACTTGTAGATGCCGCGGAAACATTTCAAATTTCTACATTCTTCGCGATCACATTTCTCCGTTTGTCTATCCTCTCTGTTTGCTTATTTTCTTGTGCTCGTTGGCTAGGTCGGTGCTGGCCTAATACATTTAATCCTTAGCACTGTTTATTTAATTTCTTCATGTGCCAGCTGGGGTCTACCCTGTGTACCAGCATTAAGATGGATCACTCTGAGTGTTATTGTGGGAGGCGACTTATCATGCGTTCTGTCATCTTTTATAAAAATCGTAATGTGTGCTTTCACTGATACATGTCTTCGCATCGCAATCCGCACCCAGAACATCAAAAATAAATCTCAACTATCCATTTACTTACGAAATGCTCAGAGCTACATTAATTTGTCAGTGTCTACAAACATTTATTGAATCTCATCCTCGTATCTGTGTCTTGTAGGAGTGACAAACGAGATGACACATCTGTCAGGTGCAATGTGAGGAGCAAGGAGATACCATATGTACCGTGCATACTGCCCAAGGCGTGTGTGTGTGTGAAGGGCCCAGAGAGAGAGTTTGTGTGTGCATGTGTGTGTGTGTGTATGTGTATGTGTGTGTGTGTGTGTGTGTGTGTGTGTGTGTGTGTGTGTGTGTGTGTGTGTGTGTGTGTGTGTGTGTGTGTGTGTGTGTGTGTGTGCGCGTGTGTGCGTGCGTGTGTGTGTGTATGAAGGGCCCAGAGAGAGAGAGAGAGAGAGAGAGAGAGAGAGAGAGAGAGAGAGAGAGAGAGAGAGAGAGAGAGAGAGAGAGAGAGAGAGAGAGATGGGTCACCATCTGAAATCGTGTGTATGTGCGTGCGTGCGTGCGTATATGCATGTAAATTTGACACAATAGTTGCGAACTTCTCAAAAAAGAGGTTATCCAAGCTCAGTAGGCGTTAAGAGTGCCGTTTTGACAATGCCTTCCCGATTTCCCTCCACCCTTTGGAAAAACAAATGACCTCAGCCACGTAACATAAAACTTACATGATTCCCACGGTCTGATACCACGCTTTCGCCCTGGACGCACTGCACCCCCCCCCCTCTCCCCTGTCTCCCTCCCCTTTCCCTTTCTCTCTCCCCTTTTCACCTCTCCCCTCCCCTTCCCCTCTCTCCTCTCCCTCTCCCCTTCCCCTTTCTCCTCTCCCTGTCCCCTTCACCTTCTTCCCCCCTCCCCCCTCCCCCTCCACAGTTCCTGAAACCATATCACTTTGATTAAAGACAAACAAATTAAAAGCGGCTAATTGGCACATGAGCAAACCCCAAATCCCCCCCTCCTCCCCCCGCCCCATACTCTTATCATGCCCCTGCCCCTCGACCAACCAGGGAAGGTACTGCTAGTGGTCGTTAAAGGCAGAGTTACGACAGGGTTATGGCTAGTTAACACGGTCTCTCGTCATATCGGGTCACCATCTGAAATCGAAGAATTTATTTCGCGATTTTATCAACACACGCGATTGCGCTCTCGTTAGCTCTTTAGTCGGATGTAAGTCTGTTTATGCTAGTCACTAACTAACTAACTAACTAACTATATATATATATATATATATATATATATATATATATATATATGTATATATGAGTGTATATGTGTGACTGTGTGTGTATGTGTGTGTGTGTGTGTGTGTGTGTGTGTGTGTGTGTGTGTGTGTGTGTGTGTGTGTGTGTGTGTGTGTGTGTGTGTGTGTGTGTGTGTATGTGTGTGTGTGTAGATACATATACATACATGTATATGTGTATATATACATGTGTATATATACACACAAATAAATATACATACATACATACATACATACATGCATGCATACACACACACACATGCATACACACATACATATATATATATATATATATATATATATATATATATATATATATATATATGTGTGTGTGTGTGTGTGTGTGTGTATGGGGGTGTGTATTTATATATATATTTATATACATATACGCACAGAACGAAAAAGATAGATAAAAAACAGACATTGGAAAAAAATATAAGATCTAAGCGCAGAGCAGGCAGAGCGCGCGGCGGAAGGCAGAGCCCGCCCGGCGAGGACACCACAGGAGGAAGGTTCGCTTCGCAGGCCGCATCCTAGCTTAATAAACCTCACAATAAAATCTTCACACCGCAGCGGGACTTTTCTCTTGGTTTAAAGTGCCGTCTCACATCTTGAGTGTCATTTAATGGTCGTTGGAAAAGCTTCACTTTACGGGTGCCACCCCTAACCCTCCCTCACCCCCCCTCTCCCCTTCCCTACGTTATGACAACAACCGGCTAAACGGACCGATCGCTAAGGACAATAACCCCTTTATCTTCTCCACTCTAATTCCTCCCAAAACAACTAGGATATCTATCTCGTAAATTACGACATAAACACTAATTAAAACATGTTAAATAACCAATCTATTCAATTATAAGCCATATTTCCACCTCGGCTTCGAAACGCGGTCGGAGTAAGCGGAGGCGCAGAGACAGGAGGCCATCCGAACAGACTCGTTCTAACTGTCAGTTCATTTTTGTAACTAAATCTCGTGGCGGCGATGGTGGCTGGCGTCTCGTCCGTCCGTCCGTCATGATATAATTGTTCCGTTTATTTTGGACGCTAGTTTCGTCTAAATGTTGAAATGTAACACTAGATTTTGTTTATGTATTTTTTGTTGTTGTTGTTGTTATTCCTGGCGATTCGGACGAGTTTGATGATAAGATGATTGGTGGTTTTGTTGAATTGTAATAATCAATTTGGCTTTTTTTTTTATTCCTTTTCGTTGTGTATTCGTTTTAGAAGCAAAATTCTCTCGAGGAATTTAGGTAAACGCACACTCTCTTTCCTCATTTTCATTATCATTATATTATCATCATTATTTTCATTGCTATTATTAGCAATTATTATTATTATCATTAACATTATCATCATCATTATCATTATCACTTACTAATATCATTATCATCATGTTTAATATCATTATTATTATAATTTTAATATAATTATTATTATAACCATTATCATTTCTTTAAACTTCGGCATTTGTATATGGAAAGAGTTGGCTAAGCCATAAAGGGTCCCCCCCCCCCAGCGTCATAAACGCTGGGCTCCCGAAGCCTCCGTCTATAGGCCATCCATCACTCCTCATTTTCCGCTCATCTGGCGCCAAATATTTGACACCTCGGCGCTCTCAGTCCGGGATCGAATTTTTTTACCCTTCTCTTTCGAAAAAAAATACTACGATGGGTGTCTGCGGCTCCTCCTCCCACATTTTTAAACTCTGACCTTCCAAACTTTGGCCGGAGATCATTAATGAAGGAGAGAGTTTAGGCGCGTCAAATGTAGCGGTTTTTGCGCATGCGTGGGGCCATATGCGGCGGGAAATTCGAAACCGCTTAACACAGTCAGAAACACTAGGGAGTCGAGTGAAACAATTTCGTTCAGGTTTTAGGCACAGCTGCATAGCATTAAGGTTGTGAAGGTTTATGAAATATTAGCGAAAGGGGATGGACTTTGAAGAGAGAGGAGGAAACAAAAGAAAGAAAAGGAGGAGAAGAAAAGTGACATTAAAATTCCGAATACATTTTCCTCGATTTAAACTAAAAAAATAATAATAACCATACCATATCTGAATAACCGCCAATAAAACCTATATACTCCTATAACTATCCCCTTAACCCCTTCCCCCCCCCCTCCAAGAAAATAAATAAAAACAGTAAAAAAAAATCCCAATAAAACCTATATACTCCTAGACCTTCCCCTTTAACCCCCTCCCTCCCCCCTTCCAAGAAAATAAATAAAAATAATAAAACAATCCCCCCCAAAAAAATCTAACATTCGCTCACAAATTCAGCAATCCAAAATTCAACCTCGCGCATAATTTGTAAGGCGACACGTAAAGACGCTGTTGCTATTTTAACTCAGGCTAATTTAGCTGGGTGTAAAAGGGA